AATGTTTTAATTCATCAAAATAAAAAGCTAGGCACCCTTCTCCTGTACAAATACTTACAATATATGTTTGTTTTTATCTTTCAAATATGAATTATTCATTAGTCCTTCACAATGAAAAGCAAGAAGAAGATATCAATGACAAAAGTCCTGCTGGAAATCACACTAAAAACCTACTAAAATTTCAAAGCAAGCAAAATAGTTAGATGTAGCATATTTCTTTATCAAACTGGTGTTTCAAAATAACTGCAGAAAAGCTGCTGAGATATGATTATAGTTACATCTGAGAGCAAGATGATAATTCCTACAAGTAAAACGGCAGAACAAAAAGCACTAAAGGCAGCACTAATAAGTGATCGTGATCTCAAAGTAATTATTTCTAAGCCTCATTTCAATCTATAAACATAAAATAAAAAAATTATTCTCCTGCCTTCAAAGATTCCACAATGGGCATAGAGGAAATAAGGAGATACAGTGAAAAACAGAATCTAATATGCACAGAGATATAACGTTTAATTTAAGAGCAAAGTCAAGTCTATATGTTATCAAACATGACACTGCAAGCTAAGCATGGAGACATAAGGATAAGGCAAATAGCTATGATCACTTGTGTTTACTTAGGTATTTTACATTTGTGTATAGCACTTTCACAGTTACACATATATGATCTTATTCTCTACAAATGTTTTTGAAATAGGTATGTTACCTCCATTTTATAAGGAAACGAAGCCTGAGAGAAGTTAGGTAACTTGCCCCAGTCACACAAAGCTATTACATGGCTCCAAATCAGCTCTTCTGAGTCCTCACCCACCTCAGGGGACAGGAATAGCCACACGTCATGCGGTAGGCCAGAGCATAAAATAAACTTGTGACCAATTTTAATGAAACTTATTCTGAAAGAATGGTATTTTTAAAGAATTATTTGAAAGCTACACAGTCCTGCAGAGTCTGAGGTGGATAATTTGAAGTTTTAGGACAGAGAGATACTGAAAAATGCCAAGAATTCAGAGGATTTAGTCCAGTCCATGCATATTACCCTAATATATCTCCCCTTACACTGCCTGATTATATCCTCTTCGCTTCACCACAAGTCCTAAAATTTCACTAATTAAATTCACTTGTGATAGCAAATTATTCTAGCATACAGTGTAAGGAGTTAAGCACCATTCATATATTAGCATAAATTAGTACCAACTACTTTCCTCATAATATACAGAAAAGGAGGAAAAGAATTGATACAGGTGTGAAGAAGGGGAAGAAAGAAGGTAATATCTATTGAGCATCCACTGTTTTCTAAGGACTGAGCTATACACTTTTCTTTCAATTTTATTAATTCTCATAGAAACCTTAGGAGATAGGTCCTATTAACTTCATTTTACCTCCTCACTTAGTTTACTAAAAAAATAAACTAAAAACTAAGATGCAAAGAGATCAAGACACTAGCTCAGAGAGCAATTACAAGAACCAAGTTGGTTTAAGGAGGCAGCCACTAAAAACATTCATAAACGACTACTTTAATGAAAGAGAGAAATGTTAAGTATTTATATTTTAAAAAGCAGGTTAGAAGTGGGTAATATCAACCAGTTGATGGAATAAGGAACTCTGAAAATCTCCCCCTCCACAAAAGCACCTAAAACAAAAGCAAAAACAGTAAAAGTTAATTTTTTTCAGAAACATGGAAATTACACAAAGGCTTGTAACAATCAGGGGCATTTATTCAAGAAAAATGGATAAATCTCACTAAGAACAGTGAGCTTTGTGGCACTTCAAATTTACCCTATTCCCATCTCCTCCTCAGCTCTGTGGTAGCCTTGAAAACCAACAGCCCACATCACTGTGAAAAATAGCAGCCTAACAGTAACTGGAGGAGTCAGAAGAGAAGTGAAGCTCTTTCAAAGCCTCATTCTAAGAGAACTCTCATTGTTTGACTTATCTAGCTGCTCCCTGGGAAAACCCACTTGCAAAGTTTGTCTTTGACTTAACTCAGAGCTCACAGAGTACTAACCTGAGGACCTTTCTGGAAAACAATCAGTGGCAAGTGCTTAACACCACAGCTGCCTGAGGAAGCAATCAATGATGAGGCAAACAACAAGCCAACCAAAAGAACTTAAAAGGAAAAGCTGGAGAATGAACTATCCATAGGGAACTTTAAAAAGCTTTGACAGCCTAATGAGAATACAGAAGGCTATACACATGAGTAGGGCTGCAAGCATGCTCAGGAAAGACTGGAGAAGGCTCTAGGAATCTAAGCCTTCACCTCTAGCTGACCTTGAGATGCTACACAAGAAGGATGCAAAGGCCAATACAGAACTGTAAACTGTCTGGCTGAATATTGATGGTATACCCCAATACACACACAGAGCCCCTTGGCAAAGACCAGGAGACTTACTAACTCCAGGCTTGTAGGAAGTCTCTGCCCAATCATTAGCTGACCACAAAGCTGAACAAGTAAAGCATTCCCTGGTCACACAGGAGGAAGAAAATGGACTGCACAGTTAGTTCAGGAAAGTCATTAAAAAACACACACAACAAGGTTGTAATCTATCATAACATTAAAAAAAATTATTAAAATTAAAAAAAAAATCTTAAAAAAAAAACACACAGTGACAATAACAACAACAAACCCTGGTTGGAAAAAGGAGAAACTGGTTTCCAGAGTTGCTACATTATTTAAAATGTCAAGTTACTAACAATAATTCCAAGTCAAACAAACAAGAAAGTATGTTCCATATACAGAAAAAGAGAAGTCAACAGAAACTGTCCCCAGGGAAGCATAAACATTTGACCTACCTGACCAATGCTGTTGTCTTTTTTAAATATGTTCAAAACAATAAAGAAAAGTGTGAGAATGGTATCAAAACCAAGTAGAGAATATAGATAATGAAATAGAATTATATTTTCAAAAAATAAGTTTAAAAGTACAATAAGTAAAATGAAAAACTCACTGAAAGCTCAAAAACATATCTGGACTGGCAAAATAAAAAGTCAGCAAATTCAAAGACAGGTTAGTTAAGATTATCCAGTCTGAGGAACAGAACAAAAAAATAATGAAGAAAAATGAACAGAGCCTCAGAGACTTGAGGCTCACCATCAAACATACTAATACAAATATAATGGGAGACCCAGAAGGAGAGAAGAGAGGGAAAGAGACAAAAAGAATTATTTCAAGAAATAATGGCTGAAAATGTCCCCAATTTGATGAAAAACATTTATCTGCACATTCAAGAAACTCAACAAATTCCAAGTAAAATAAACTCAGAGACCCACATCTAGACACAAAACAAAACTGTCAAACACAAAGACAAAGAGAGAACCTTTAAAGCACCAAGAAAGAAGCAACACATCACTTAACAAGGAAGCCTCAATAAGAAAAACATCTAATCTCTCATTAGAAAACATGGAGGTCAGAAGGCACTGAGAAGAAGTGGTCGGAGATTAAAGAAAAAGACTACCAACCAAGAATTCTATATCCAACAAAACTGTCCTTCAAAATTTAAAGAGAAATTAAGACATCCCAATATGCAAAAACTGAGGATGTGTTGCTAGCAGACCTGCTCTACAAAAAATACTAAAGCGGGAGAGGAGTGGCCCTGTGGTGTAGTGGTCAAGTTTGGTGCGCTCCGCTTTGGTGGCCCAGGTTTGCAGGTTTGATCCTGGGTGCGGACCTACACCACTTCTTGTCAGCCACGTGGTGGTGGCAACCCACATATAAAGTGGAGGATGACTAGCACAGACGTTAGCTCAGGGCTAATCTTCAAGCAAAAAAAAAAAAGGAGGAAGACTGGCAACAGATCTAACCTCAGGGCTAATCTTCCTCAGCAATAAGTAAGTAAATAATAAGTAAGTAAGTAAGTAAATAAATAAATAAATACCAAAGGGAGTCCATCAGGCTGAAATGAAAAGATTCTAGACAGTAACTCAAATCCATGGGAAAAAATACTTTGACATGTAAATGAAAACACAACATACCAAAATTTATTATCCAGCTAAAGCAGTGCTTAGAGAAAAATTTACAGCTTTAAGTGCCTGTATGAAAATGAAGACCTCAAAATCAATAACCTAATGTTCCACCTTATGAAACTAGAAAACAAAAAGCAAAAGCATACTACTTCTAAGGCATGCAGTATAGGGGAGGAAATAATAAAGACTGCCGAGGAGATAAGCAAAATGGAGAAGAAAAAAATACAAAAAAAAAAAAAATCAATGAATCCCAAATTAGTTCTTTGAAAAGATCAACACTGGGGCTGGCCCAGTGGCACAGTGGTTAAGTGCGCACATTCTGCTTCAGCGGCCCAGGGTTTGCCAGTTTGGATCCCAGGTGTGGACATGGCACCACTTGGCAAGTCATGCTGTGGTAGGCATCCTATGTATAAAGTAGAGGAAGATGAGCACGGATGTTAGCTCAGGGCCAGTCTTCCTCAGCAAAAAGAGGAGGGTTGGCATCAGATGTCAGCTCAGGGCTAATCTTCCTCAAAAAAAAAAAGAAAAGATCAACAAAGTTGACAATAGGGGAGAAGTCAAATAAGGTATTACTAATACTCTGGATCCAGTTCTACACCTCCAAAATAAAAAATAATTGCTCAATTCATTTCACTATACTCAAAGGCACTCTTTCTTTTTGAAAATAATGAAACATATGCATATTTGAAAAATACATTACACTGAGTAAGGGAAAGTAAATACTATTACACTGGGAAAAAATATATCCTTTAAAACAACAGAGGATAAAACCAGAATGAGTTAGAATGGGAGAAGTTAATTCTAAACACATTATACAGACAATGCTTCTCAAATTATCTATGAAGGACTAGTTTTTTGTTTTTTCATTCCAATTCATCATGGACCAATGCTTTACAACAAGTGAATTACTAGAAAATAGAGTGAAAAGCACCTAGACTGGTCTATATCCTATTCAACAAGACAAGTTCACTAACCACATGCTTGCATGTCACAGCACTGTCAAATTGAAATGAGCTTCTCAACACCTCAATTTCTGCACTTACCTTGTTGCAGATCTGTAATAAACAGTTGGTAAACTAGCACTGGTCTGCAGACTACACTTTGAGTAGCACTAGTAATGTCTGGGAAGGAACGATGCCGACTTTTGGTGTATAGCCTTGATACTGCTGCTGACAGTGAGAAACCTGTTCCTGCCATGAATTCACCAATAAAACCAGGATTTCAGAGAATGATGCAGTAAGAGGAGTGGCATAATCTCTACTTCTTAAATTCTCATTAAAACCGGGTTACCAAATCTCATAAATCATCATCCCACAGTAACTCCCACAACAGTCATTCCTTTCTGTTTACATTCCCATTAAATCAATTTGTAGGGTAAGGCCTGGTATCTTTATTTTTTAAAAGCCTGGAAGACCACTGCCGCTCGCTTTCCTGCATTCATATCTGTGGCCTTACCATTACCTTCACCAAACTGCTCTTCTTTTAATTCTACTGAAATTCTAATCATCTTTCAAGGTAAAGCTAAAAAATGCCCAGGCCCCATGAAGCTTTCGCCAAGCTCCTCCTTTAGATACTATCCTTCTATCTTTTAAACTCATAACATGTTTCATATTTGAATGATTCTTTTACTATACCATCAACTCCTTTCTTTACTCCTTTGCAGCTACCCAAAACCTAGTAAAGCACTATCATACAGTTAGTTATTCAAATGGTTTCTCAGATCCATCATTTTCAGATTTAAAAAAATAAATAAATGGAAGCACAGATGGATAATTATTTTTCTTAAAGACATTTTACAAGAAATGGCATGTTTATAAGAAGCAGCTTACAGTAATAACCAACTTGCCTCTAGAAGGCTCTAAGAACAAGTGATGGAAAAGGAAAGATAACTGGGAACCTTGAAGCTATTGACTTAAAAGAATTCACACAATGACCACAAAGTTTTGGTAATGCAAACACACCTTTTACTAGCTATTTTACTTTAGTTTTCGGTGAGGAGGGAAAGAGTAATGTTGCTAAGTGACACAATTTAAGGATTTCCTTGTGTTTATCTGAAATAAAACACCAGCAATGAATTTTATTTCCTTTCATTTAATCAATTCTCCCTTGTTTTCCCAAAATCTAACTTCTAAATAATTTTCTCTCTAATTTACCCATTTTAATAGGCTAGAGACTGAGAATAAAGCACAGAATCTGGACCATCATCAAGATCATTCAAAGGTTTGTACTCTATTTTTCAAGAATAAATTTTTACTTGATTTTGAATAGGTCATAATATCTCTGATTCAATTTTATCACCTTTTAAGGTTCTGATTAAAATTTAAATACTGTTTTAAATTTGTCCATATATTCTGTGCTTCAAATGCATTTTGTCATGTAATCTTCCAACAGTGTCTGAGATGCTGTTATTTTAACTTTATAGACAAGTAAAGTATCTCTAAAAGTGTTAAGTAAATAATATAGCTGAGATCAGAACCCTTCTGACTTTCTCCACTATCTCCCCTTACTTACTAGCTATTTAATACTGAAGTTTCCTTGGGGATTAATTACTATCCACGACACTGGGCTGTTGCAGGGATTAAGTCAGGTAACACATGTCAAATGCTCAGTCCAGGACCTGCCACACACATAAGTGGTCAAAAATATTAGCTATTAGCCAATATATGACAGCTCTTCTATGAAAATGTTCACTCCTTAAAAACTTCTCAAAAATAGTGAAGAGATGGAACTGTATTTGTGTTCATGTGAAAAGTCAGCCAATTTACTTAGTAATTATTAGAATGTTAACAATTCCTGAGAACACAATACTCAACTTACGTATATTTTGGAGTATATCTAAATTCTGAAATCAATCCCCAAATAACGAATATTTAGATTGGTTCAAATTTTTCACTGCTCTAAACAATACTGCAGTGATCTATGCACTTATCCACTTACTTTCTTAGAATAAATACGAAGAGATGGAAATGCTGGTTTCAAAGGATATGCACATATACATTTGAAATTTTAATATTTAACAGTCAAAATGCCCTCTAATTTACATTCCACCAGCAATGTATGAAAGAATCTGTTTCCACATGTCTTGATAACATACGTTGCAATTTTTTCCAAATTTCATAAATTTTTAACAGTTCATAAAGAAATCAACTCTTGGGGCTGACCCCATGGCCAAGTGGTTAAGTTCACACGCTCTGTGTTGGTGGCCCAGGGTTTCACCAGTTCAAATCCTGGGCACGGACCTAGCAACGCTCATCAAGCCATGCTGAGGTGGCATCCCATGTGCCGCAACTAAAATATACAACTGTGTACTGGGGGGCTTTGGGGAGAAGAAGAAGAAAAAAGAAATTAACTCTTTTAAACATGTTGCAAATGTTTCCTAGTTTTGTTTGTCTTTTAACTGTTAATAATGATTTTTACTGTGAGAAATTTTAAAAAAATGTTTTGGGGGGGGGGTCAAGAAGATTGGCCCTGAGCTAACATCTGTTGCCAATCTTCCTCTTTTTTTGTTTTTTCCTCCCAAAGTCCCATTACATAGTTGTATTTCCTACTTGTAGCTCATTCTAGTTCTTCTGTGTGGGATGCTGCCACAGCATGGCTTGATGAGTGATGTGTAGGTGTACAACAAGGATCCAAACCAAGGAACCCGGGGTCACTGAAGTGGAGAGCACAAATTTAATTACTTGGCCATGGGGCTGGGCCCAGAAATTTAAAACGTTTTTATAGGCAAATTTATCAAACATTTCTGTGACAATTTCTAACTCTGGTGTAAGTTTTAAGAGTGGTCTTACCTATCCCAATACTTAAGATATATTTATTTATTTTTTCTTCCATTTTATACTGAAGAATTAGAACTATTTAGAATTTATTCTACATAAGACATAAAGTAGTGATCCATATTTTCTTATCCAGATGAGCATTTCTTCTTCTTGATCTTTATCTAGACCACCATTTAATGAAGCGGTCACGTGAGCTCCTTCTGTAGCAAATGGAAGCCATCTTTTTAAAATTTTACATCCTTTTTCAATGTAACTGTTCTTGACTACAAAAAGAACTGCAAAGCTTTCTTAGAGAAAAATATGAGATTTGTATTTACAAACACTAAGGAAGGCTTAAATAAATAGAGACTCCTTGGGATAAGAATACTAGATATCCTACAGATGTCAATCTCCTGTAAATGAAATCTATGGATTCAAGGCAATCCAATAAAAAAATTCTAACAATATTATTCATGAAATTTAACAAGCTGATTCTCAAAGTTATATGCACGAGCAAAAGGCCAAAATGCCAAAAGATTTGTATTAGGCTCCTGTGGCTGCTGTGACAAATCAGAGGCACAAACTTTGTGTTCTGTCTTCACATTGCCTTCTCCTCTGTGTCTATCTACAGGTCAGTTTATTCTGTTAAATGGAGGGAGCAGGGGAGTACACTTTAAAGCTAACGTGGTGTTGGCCTCAATGGACACAAGTTTTCTAAAAGTTAGATGTTATATAAGGGTCATGAAGATTTCTTTCAATAATGGAAGGGATTATCTGATAACCTCTGCCATAATGCCCTAAACATTTTTCAGATAATATCCTGGTTTTTTGTGTTTTATTTGTTCTTTGTTTTTTGTTAAAGATTGGCACCTGAGCTAACAACTGTTGCCAGTCTTTTTTTTCCTCCTGCTTTTTCTCCCCAAATCCTCCCATTACATAGTTGTATATTCTAGTTGTGGATCCTTCTTGTTGTGGCATGTGGGACACTGCCTCAATGTGGCCTGATGAGCAGTGCCATGTCTGCGCCCAGGATCTGAACCAGCAAAACCCTGGGCCGCTGAAGTGGTGCGCACGAACTTCACCACCTGGCCACGGGGCCGGCCTCCTGGTTTTTTGTTTTTGTTTGTTTTTCTATTTCAGATAGTGCAGACTTTAGATTCCGAACCAATTTATTTGCACAGGTACTAAAGACAACCTAAGGTTTCTTTCTGATCAGAATACTCACTTTACATGTTCTTTCTACCACTGTCAACTGAAAGGAAGTTAATTACAAAATAGCAACTTTGCTCTCCTCATACCTGATACATTCATTCATGAACCACATAACATTGACTGAGCATCTATTACATGCCAGGTGTGTGTTGAGTCTAAGGATATGAAGATGAAAAGACACACCTCTGCCCTCAGCAAGTTATCAGACACAGGCATGCAAATATAAATAATTACATTGCAATAAAATAACCAAATTACTAGAAGAAAATATGTACAATGTAGGAAAAGCTCCTACACCTACCTGGGAAGGCTTCACCAAAGCTATAAACAGATTTTGCCCTGAGACTTGAAGGAAGAGTAGAAGCTTTTGGTGTAAGAGTGATGGAAAGTAGTAGGGCACAGTAAACGTTATTAGCAAAAGCATATGCACCACAGAAACTGATTTCTCATTCAATATTGCTGAAATGTAAGGTACTAGACAGGGGTAACAAGAAGTTAAGACAATATGGTAGACAAAGATAAATTTATGTTGGGACACTTAGGATTTGAGGTGTCTGTGGGACACCCTTACATCTATTTATCTTTTCCAACCACATTGTTAAAGATGAAAGTTTCATGTCTTAATAACCTGGAGGATGGTGATGTCATTTACAGAAACAGACAAAAAAAGAAAAACAATTTAGATTGTGTAGACATTTGATACTAGAAAGAGCAGATGTAACAAACATACTAATCACCTACTTCTCTATTTTCTCCAAGGTCTATTTCTATGACATGGATCCTTCTAAAAGAAGAGACATTAGATAATATATGAACACACACAAATTACGACTGAATTTAGAATTCAGAAAAATATGTTAACAACAATAACAATGCTTTCTTTTCTAAGACACTGAAAACTCATAAACCAACATGTTTCCTTCTTCACTTTAACTGACAGGAAATCTAAGAACCAAATTCAATGCCTCATAGCTATAATCAGCTCATCTCTGGAAACTGACAATGTTTCCTTTCTTTAAGTAGTGGGTATTCAGTTGTCTATTTTATCACTAATTGTTTTATTCCACATTTATTCACTCCTTTAAGTCATGTAAAATCCTTCAGATGCAGTAAAATCCATAATAAAAGAAGTATTAATGCAAAGATGACTCACAGTATTTGAAACAGCTTGTTTTACTAAGCAAATTAATCAGTACCATTGTTTATGTAAATAATCTACTCAGTAAATCACTTCTTCATAAATATACAAAGAGAAAGTATTTTAATGAAGTCAATTAATTTTTCAAATCAGTAAGTTTAAAATTAAAGAATATAAAGAGTATATACAAATTAAAAAACATAAAAGGGTTGAATGTCATGCATATAAGATTACTTACTACCTTTGTATATCAAACCCTTAAAAATATATTCAAATATCAAATTAGTTTATTTTTATAGGCAGTTTATAGTTCATAATTACTCCTACACATTTTCAGATTTCCAACCAAATCTTGTCCAAGCAAATCTATGCCATTTTTATTTATTTAATGAACATATAGTGCTTGTTTCTGTCCTTATATATTACCATTCATACCTACTGCACACTAGTTATTTATTTTTCTGATTTTAGATATTTTAATCTAATTTTCTTTGTGAAAACATTAATATATTCAGACTGGAGACAAAAATCAGATATTTTTCATTAATCACTTAAATTTCTTCTCAACAAAAAAAGTAAAAAATGGACACCAGGTTGCTTTGTATGAAGCCAATTTTCAGTCTCATTCATTTAAGACAACCTCTTATTATCAGCATCTTATGTCCAACTGCTGTTTATGTTTCAGAGTTTTTTGTAATTTTTGTTTGTTTCAAGCAGGTACGGACATCAGGTGAGGGAAGTCATTCCTGACAAATGACAAACAAATGAGTTGCCCCTTCAACTGCTCCAGCTTACTGACTTAAGAGTTGCCAGTCAGGGCCAGCCCCATGGCCAAGTAGTTAAGTTTGCATGCTCTGCTTTGGCGACCCAGGGTTCATCAGTTCGAATCCTGGGTGTGGACCTACACACCGCTCATCAAGCCATGCTGTGGCTGCACCCCACAAAGAAGAACTAGAATGACCTATGCACTGGGGCTTTGGGGAGGAAAAAAAAGGTGATTGGCAACAGACATTAGCTCAGGGCCAATCTTCCCCCCTTGCCCAAAAAATGCTTAAGGCAAGTCCCAGACCATTGGAAGGGCACAATAAATGCTAGCTCTTAAAAAAAAAAAAAAAAAAAAAAAAAAAGGAGTTGCCAGGCCATGGTGAGAGGAAAGGGAATCCAGGCAGAGCCAGTGGAATTTATGAGTCAGTCATAGAGACTAAGATAATTAGAGTTCACAGGACAGAGCACAGAAGAGAGGAGAGATGTGAGAACCCAGGAGACTGGAGACAGCCCCCTTCCAGTATAACCATAACATACTTGTTAGGAAACGTCCCAAGACGGAAGAAAGAACTATGTGAAAGAATTTGAGAGACTACTAGCAGATGCTCACATAAGAACAGGAACAGTGCTGGTTCCCAAGAGTTGGGCTACAAAAAACACTTGTAATTTGCGAGGCATCGAGTAGAATACTCAGGAAGGTATTGCCTCATAGTAGGTAATAATTAACCTTAGATGATGCACTCAACAAATCATAAAAGCAAGACATGTAATGATCAAACAGTTTTCAAGTAATTTAACTGCATCCCAGATAAAAGATCATGAATTTATAGGAATACGAAAATATCCAAAAGCTAAGAAGGTAAAATTTGCAATATCAGAAATTTAAAGATTACTCTACATACAAAGAAGCACAAAAACAACCCAGAATGAGGAGAAAAATCAAGTGATTAAAAGTGACCCAGAATTGACAGAGATGTTAGAATGAGCACAGAAGTATATCACTATTTTAATTATATTTCATATGTTCACAAAGGTAAGAAGACATGTAGATGATATAATTATTTACTTATTTACCCAAAATGTACAATGTCTAAAATGAAAAAAATAAATGAAATGAGATTAATGGCAGATTGTATGTAGCAGAAGAAAAGACTAGTGAACTTGAAGACACAGCAATAGAAACTATCCAAGATAAAACAGAGAGTAAAAAGAATCCAAAAAAAAAGGATGTCAGTTCTTTTAAAGCTATGAGACTTTCCAATATACTAATAATACTTTCTAATATGCTAATCTAATATTAATAGTTTATAATATACTAATAAATGAAATTCCAAAAAGA